AGGAAGTGACGCAACCACACCAGGCACGCTGGGGGCAGGGCCACAGTCATCCGAGGGAAAACTATGGTTTTCCCTCGGATGGTCATGGCCCCACTCCCAGCATGGCCAGTGTCGTCACGTCACTTCCTCGTGATGTGGATGCGGCGCACTCGCGCTCCGGGATCGACCTGGGAGTCCCCCGCTCCCGAACAAGGTGAGACTTGGCAACCCTAGTCTTATGTTCAGTTGGAGACCACCATGCAAAGGATTTTCCTGGTGGTGGCCATCCAGTTATGAAGTCAGATTTTAAGGCTGCCAGATCTGTAAACTAGGCACATTTCAGTGGGCTTTAAAGATCTGCATTTACAGAAGCATTTTATAGTTAATGTGCCTATTTGGTTTTATTGGTGGTTGTTCCCTTTACCACACGCATGCATACATACCTTCTCTGGGTAGTTTTGTTCTTTTTATTACATTTTGGTTTTATTTCTGTCTTCAGAAGTGTTATATAGAAACACAGGCCATACATTTTCTAAACAAATAAATAAAAATAGTAAGAACAGAGATACCATCTTTGCCAGAAAGGAGGACAACCCTAGATGTAAGGTGAACCCCCCCCCCCTAAAGCTTATACACAAAAAACTGTGATGCACATTTAAGACAAACACCTGTCTTTCTTGATGGTACTCCTGGGGGGGGGAAACCTAGTCTGCCTTCAAGTAAATTGGGTATAAGAGTAACAACTATGTTTTAAGCATTGTAAAACCTCCATTCTTGGGTTTTTAGTTAGGTTTTCTATACTTTCTCCTATAGATTGTAGACTCTCCCTCCCCAATTTCTGTTGTAGTTTTATAGAGATGCAAATAAAAAATTCCTCCTCGGGGGGCTTTAAAAAAAAGTAAATTGGGTACCTTAAATCACTGAGAACTTGGCCAGAGCAAGATGAAAGGGTATACATACCATTTGTTGAAATATAATGTCTCTTGGCTGTGGCTGTAAGCTGTGTTTCTACAGCACTCCCATAGAAACCATCCACAGGTAAGAGCAAACCAAGTCACAGACTTTTCTTGTTCCTGTTCATTCCATTTTGTTCGACTTTTGAAATAATTTGCATTATAACACTACTTCTCATACCATTGGAATCCTTAATTGTAGATCATTTAATTTATAGTACAATCCTAGACAAAGTTACACTCTTCTAAGACAAGTAAAGGCAATGGGTTTAGAAGAGTGTAACTCGATTTAGGATTGGTCTGTAAATGGGTCATTTCACTGGCTGTGGAGAAAGTCTGTTTTCTACCTTCACATGGTTCTCAGTTTCTATACTAGCCACAATTTCCTAGTGGGTAATTCCCAAGACATTCAGCATCTATTGTAAGAACTCCTTTGTTAGCAATCATGTTTGCTATGCCAGATGTGTACCTCTAAATACTTTGGCACACATGTCCAGGGTTAGGGTAGGGAGGGCTAAGATCTGCCTCCCAAGTCTGTGAATTGAGGCAGGTAGTGACTAGAGAGAGGTTATTTCTGTGGTGGCACCTGGCCTTTGGAGTGCCCTTTCCCTTGAGGCTCACATGTCACCTATCTTACCGTCCTTCAAGTGCAAAGTTAAGACATTTCTTTTTTATCCAGGCTTTTAATTAGGGATTTTATCTTTCCAGCTATTTCATGGCCTGCTTCTGGTCTGAGGCGTGTTTGAATGGCTTGTTTCTTTTCATATTGATAATTTATTTATTTTTTTTGAAAGAGCTACTTCTGGAAAGGTGACATAAAAATCTCCTAAATAAATAAATTCTGCAAACCATTTTGATGTATTCATTTTATTTGTTGTTTGTTTGGAAGATTTACACCATGGCATCTCCCATTGGCTGTGCTATGCGCTCCATCAGCCATTGCCCTATCAACTGCCACTCAAGAGTACTCGTGTGCCATTGGCTGGGTGCTGGGTCTGCCACTCTCCCCCGCCCACTGCCAGTCTGGCCACTTCCCTGACAGAATAAACTGCTGAAACAGCTGTCTGTCCTGACAAAGACTTCTCCTGCTTGGCTCCTGTGGAGCTAACTTTTCCCTCAGTGGCTGTTGCTAGGCAACCAAGCTTGGTTCTGGCAGTAAAAAGGCAAAGGCAGGAGGCCCATTCCAGGCCTACTTTGGCCTTGGTGGGGAACTTATTGGGGCCAGTCCTGACTAGGGTTGCCAGCTCCAGGTTGGGAAATTCCTTGATATTTTGTGGTGCAGTCTACAGAAGGGGAGGGGAGAGGCCTCAGCTGAATAGAATGCCATAGAGTCCACCCTCCAAGGCAGGTACTTTCTCTTGGGGAACCATTGCTGCCAGTCTCCAGGTGAGGGCTGGAGATCACTCAGAATTAAAACTGCTCTCCAGATGGCAGAGATCAGTTCCCCTGGAGAAAACAGCTGCTTGGAGGGTGGACTCTGTGTCATTATACCCTGCTGAGGTCACCTCCCTCCTGCTTAGGTCTCCACTGCAGAGAAAGCCTGTACTTTTCCTAGGTAGAGGCTGAAGGGGGGGAAGATGGAGAACTGAAGTCAGAGGGGCAGATAAAGGTAGGTTGATGGTTGGCTGGGAAGGAGATAGGGTTGCCACCTCCAGGTTTGGAAATTCTTGGATATTTAAGGGGTGGAGTCTGGAGAGGGTGGGGTTTGTGGAGGGGTGGTACCTCAGACAGGTACAGTGCCATAGACTCCACCCTCCAAACCAGCCATTTCCTCCTGGGGAACCGTTGTTGCCAATCTCCAGGTGAGGGCTGGAGATCACTCAGAATTATAACTCCTCTCCAGATGGCAGAGATCAGTTCCCTTGGAGAAAATGGTGGACTCTGTGTCATTATACCCTGCTGTGGTGGCCACCCTATGACAGTCAGTGTGACGTAGCAGTTAGCACTTCAGAGCAGGGTCTGCCAGACCCAGGTTCTTCCTGTGGAAGCTGATTGGGTGATTTCAGACCAGTCACAGACTTTCAGCCTAACCTACCTCACAGGGTTGTTGTGCAGATTCAAAGAGGGAGAGGAGAATGTAATCTGCTTTGGTCCTTACTGTGGTGGACTCTGTATCATTATACCCTGCTGAGGCCACCACAGCAAATAGACTCTGAGTGCCCAAGGCCAGGGCACCTGCCCAGAGCCTCTTTCTAGAGCTCGTTGTATTTATTTCCACAACGGGCCTTATTCCTAGTTATTTATAATACCCAAAGAGATTTATATTATCAAAACGCAATACCTGAAAGATCAAGTGAATACTTTATGATAAAATTTAAAAAGCATACATAATGTGTCTAAAGGAGAAGTCTAAAGCATCAAGTATCAGACAGTAGCAACTAAAATATGTAAGGCATCAGTAAAACTAATGGGGAAAAATCAACAGCATCAGTAAAACAGCAGCAGTAGTAAAATTAGCAATAAAATCAGTAATCATTGGTTAAAAAAACACTGGTACTGATTAAAACATCATTGTATCAAGTCCGACAACACTTCTGTGGTAAAAAAAAAAATTGCCTTAACTAATTTTTGAAATTCAGGAGTGAGGAGCTGCTTGGGACAAGAAATTCCACAGAGGGGGCCAGAGCTGAAAAAGCCCTGTCCTGTATACTCCCTAGCCTTGTGATATCCAACACAGAAATGCAGACCAGAATGCCAGAAGGTGCTCTAAGCACACAGGTATGGGTCATGCATCTGCTTAGGGATTTATGGTTGCTCTTTTTTTTGCTTTGCACATTAATATAGGAAAGATTGGTGCATGATGTGTGCAGCTGTGATAAGCACAACTGCCACATAGAGCTCCATCAGCAAAGTCTTGTTGCTAAAGCAGTCCCACATGTATGAGTTATAACACCTCCTAGTACACCTGACTGTGGGGTTGTGGGCACAGGAGCTATGTAAAGACGAGCTATTGCCTAGTGAGGTCAGTAGCACTGAGCAATCATACCGTGTCAGGTCCCGAGGCATCGAAAGCAGGGAAAGTGATAAAAGCACACACAGCAAGGTAAATCTTACGCAGCAAATGTACTTCTAATGGAAACGTCTTAGCCTCTCACATCTACTTATTCAGATAACAAATAACTCTGTGGGAAAGAGAGCTGCAGATTGAATGTATATATTACAGTTCAGATAAATATGAAAAGGCTGCTGCATGTGCCTGTATAAATCCCAGTGATCTCGCATGTTTTCATCACATGAAAGCTATTGAAGAAGAAGTGAGGAAATGAGAAGCTCCTGTTACCAGCTAATAAGGAAGCGGGCAAACAGAGGGGTTTGTGAACTTATTTAAAGGGAAAGGATTTTTAAAAATGCATCCAAAGTATATAATCACAACAGAATGGCTAGACTTTGCAAAGAATTCCATGGGACTGATGAGAAAAGAGAAATGGAGCCAGGGTGTTCTGGTTTTATTGGCTTGATGCAAAGCTGAATTATAAAAATGAAAACTGAGAGGAATATTGCTCCACCGATATTATTTCAGTAGACAGGATTCTCCGCTAAATATTAGGGGCTGTCATCCAGCCAACCATACAAGTCCATCCTGGATTTTAGCTTTTTGAGTGGTTGCTAGAATTGTAGGATACAAAAAGAAAAAAAATCACCAGAGTAATTTGTGGTAGTACAAGAATTATAATCAGGGGACATAAGTGTTACACAAGGAGTGGTTGAATTTCTGAGGTAATGCCTATGAATATAAATATCTGTGCACTGTGCCTCCATGTAAAGTAAAAAATTTTCAGGGTGCAGTTGGAAAGATTGCATGCATATGTGTTGGGTCTCCCCGCCAGAAGCTTGGGGACCAGCCAGCCAGCCCAGAGCAGAGACCGTACCTCTCCCTCTCAGGTGAATGCCTGATATCTTGCCTTGGGGCATCTCTCTCAGCCAGTGCCGTGTCTCTATGGCTAGTGCCACTTTCTGCAGTATCTTTAACCTTGAAGGTCTGGCTCTGAGTGTCCTGCTCTGATGGATAGGCTGCATGCCTGTCTTTCTTCTACTGAGGGTCTCTTGTGTTCCAATGTCTTGTTACAGGAAAGGAGCTGGTGGTTGGGACGTGTGAAATCACAGCCTTGGACAGAGATATGAGCCATCCCAAGAGGATGATTGCCAGGCAGACGGCACGCTGTGCTTGTAGGAGGGGCCAAGTTGCCGGAACAACGAAAGCAAAACCTGCCTGTGTGGATGGTAAGAGAGCAAGGCTTTCTTCTCTCTCCATTGCATGTTCCAATGGTCCATGCATCAGGGCCAACAAAGAAGGGGACTATCTTGAAATCTGCTGAGTACTCATGCAGATGGAAACTGTGGTCTCTGCAAACTTCCCATGATTGTAGAGGCTCGTATGTTGATCTTTCTGCTCCAAACATGGACACCCCTTCCAGGGAAGCTAAAGTAAGGCCTTGCAAACTTTCAGTATAAAGAAAACAAAAGAAACTAGATGAGCTTCTCCAGTTATAACTATGACCAGATAGAGGCCAGTAGCTCATATCTTATTCTGCACCTAGGAATAACCAAAACAAAAATCCAGAGAGAAAGCAGGTCATATGGGGGAGAGACTCTGGGGAAGCAAAGGAGGTAGTAAAAAAAAAACAAAGGAGGGAGTGTTGCTGTCCCTGATTTCTAGAGCCAACAATGAGTATAGGAAAAAGGCCTTCTGTCTCCTGCACTCATTTGAAGGGTCTGCCACCCTGCCTTTGGGACCATTGAAGACATCCACAGGTTCATTTCTTAATGAAAGACCTTCAAAAACCTGTAATACACACCACTGTCAACTAGTGGTAACATTGGTACCAGAGTCTGTTGGTGCTATTAGGTAATGTTGTGAAATATGACCATGTTAAGTTGGGAGTTCTTTAGAGAATTCATAGTAAAGCCTTGGACTGAGAGAGCATGGAAAATAACTGGCTCTCCCTAGGACTGTAGGACAATTCTACAGAGCTAATTAAAAAAGAAAATTCATTCAGTGGTGGACTGGTGCACATTGCTGCCCCACTTGCACCCTTAAGAGTTCCCTCTCACTCTGAGCAAAAATTCATCATCACATAAGAATGTGTCCTAAGAAGAAGAAGAGATTGGATTTATACCCTGCCCTTCACTCCCCAAAGGTGTCTCAGAGCGGCTTACAAACTCCTTTCCCTTCCCCTCCCCACAACAGACACCCTGTGAGGTGGGTGGGGCTGAGAGAGCTCTGACAGAAACTGCTCTTTTTCAAGGACAGCTCTTATCAGAACTACGGCTTGCCCAAGGTCATCCAGCCAGGTGCAAGTGGAGGAGTGTGGAATCAAACCTGGTTCTCCCAGATTAGAGTCCACACACTTAACCACTACATCAAACTGGCTCCTAAGTAGTCCCCAAACTAGTGAAATTATGCGTGTCTGTCTTGCAAGCTGTTTACCTGAAGAGTGCACCTGTCTCTTTGAAAGCTGTGCAACTCTGAGAGAGCATGTAGTAGTTATGCCCCTTCCTATCCTGCTATTCGATTGGTCCATTCTGTCTGTCGATTGATAAAATTAGAGTCCTGTGTACAAAAGCCATTGGGAAAAAGGACCAGCAGAGCCCCACTGCTGAAGGTGTGAAAGCTGCATCCTCCATCTCATGGGGCATTGAAAGGGACACATGATGCTTATACTGAATGAGACCTTTGGTCCATCAAGGTCAGTACAGAATAGACAATAACGACCTTGATATAAGTATAAGGGTCTGTGATCTTTCACATCACCTTCTATCTGTTAACTGGAGTTGCTGAGAATTGAACCTGGGATCTTCTTCATGCAAAGCCGATGCTCTGCCCCGAGTCATTGCCCCTCCCCACATGCAGTCTCTGGGGAAGACCTGGTCACTCTGCATATGGGCGTTATCTTGGATTGGAATACTAGAGGACAGAAGTTTTGAAGCAAACCAGAGTCCCCAGCAACCAACTAGGTCTTATTGGATAGGAGCAGATGCTATGTGGCTGTTCCCCACCTAGGAGCAGCAGTTTATTTCAGAGCATCCAGAGGGCTTTGACATTGCCTAAGGGAAGAAAGAAAGCCTCTGGGAAATTGTCACAAACTGTGGGTGCTGAGCCCTGTGATAATCTGGTCCTGAGCTGCATGAAAGTGCTTTGTTCTCACAAAACAAAGCCTTTCCAATCTAGGAAGCCACTTGATCACAGTTGGGGAGCTGCTGGGGGAGGGAGGGGGGGAATCCATGTAAAATGAGCTGAATTCCCTCTTGGTTCTATGGGACTTTCAGGAAGCCTTCCCCGGGCCTCAGTGTGTGGGCATGTGTTAGCTTATGTTGCTATGTGCTGTGATGGTGCAGCAGTAACATGCTACCTAATGTTGCTACGTGGGGGGATCTGTCCCTTGCCTGTGGGTGGGTGTTTGATACATGTGGTGAGTGTGAGGCTATTCAGAGCCTGCAGGTGGCTGTTGTCTCATGCTTGGAGGTGTTATTACTACAGCATAAAACATCCAATATTGTATTCATTCTCCCTTATTTTTACCCTTAGTTTTTTCTCCTTCTGTTCTCTCTCAGTACTCTTATCCTTTCTCTTCAAAGGGCCTTTCCCAATTAAAAACACTGATTTGATTTGATTTATTAAATATCTACTCCGCCCTCCCGGCCAGGGCCGGCTCAGGGCGGCTTACAAAAGCAGCATAAAATTGCAGTAAAATTACAATAAGATACATTAACAACAATATTAATAATAAACAATTCTGACTATTCATATTAAAACATATTAAAATGCTAATATCGGTATCAGTAATTCACAGTGGTTGTTATTACACGAGCTCTTTGTTTGCGGTCAGCTCTTGCTCTTTTAGATCAACTTGGGCGGCTATCTCAGGCTATGAGTTGAATCCCAGGAGAACAGGGCTCTCCCACTTTAAGTCATCAGTTGTTAATAATTAGTGATTAGTGGTGGCAGCGGCTCCAAATTCCTGGTGGAAGAGCTCTGTTTTACACGCCCTGTGGAACTGCAAAAGGTCCCACAGGGCCCTGGTCTCTTCTGGGAGCTCATTCCACCAGAGTGGAGCCGCCACCAAAAAAGCCCTGGCCCTGGTTATTGATAGCCTGGTCTCCTTGAGACTTGGGAAGACCAGCCTGTTCTGGGCCCCTGATTGCAGTGCTCTATGTGTGGGGAAAGGTGGCCCCTCTGGTATGTAGGACTCTGGGCATAAAGGGCTTTAAAGGTAAGAACCAGCACCTTGAAACGAATCCGGTATGCTATAGGCAGCCAGTGCAATGCCTTTAGCACTGGCTGGATGTGCTCCCGGATAGGGAACCCCATCAAACTCCTAGCTGCGGTATTTTGCACCAGCTGCAGCTTCCAGATTTGAGACAAGGGCAGCCCCATGTAGAGGGCATTACAGTAGTCCAGTCTTGAGGTGACCATTGCCTGGATCACTGTTGCCAGGTCATTAGGTTCGAGGAAGGGAACCAACTGTCTGATCAGCTGAAGGTGATAAAAGGCCGATTTGGCAGCGGCTGCTACCTGGGCCTCCATTGTTAAGGAGGCGTCTAGGAGCACTCCCAAACTCCTAACCACCAGCGCTGGCACCAGTGGGGCCCCATCGAAGGTCAGGAGTGGGATCCATGCCCTTGGACCACCCTGACTCAGGCACAGGACCTCTGTCTTCATCGGATTCAATTTCAGCCGGCTCAGCCTAAGCCAACCAGCCACGGCTTGTAACGCCCAGCCTAAACCTTCCGGTTTGGAGTCGGACTGACCACCCAACAACAGATAGAGTTGAGTGTCATCCACATACTGGTGACATCCCAGCCCATGCCTCCAGGCAATCTGGAGCATATAGATGTTGAAAAGCATCGGGGACAACACTGCCCCTTGCAGCACTCCACATTCCAGTGGGTGCCTTTGGGACAGCTGATCCCTCAGAGCCACTTTTTGTCCCTGACCTTGGAGGAAGGAAGCAGGCCACTGTAAGACCAGTCCCTGGATTACAGTGTCAGCGAGGCGGTGGACCAGTAGTTGATGGTCAACCGTGTTAAACGCAGCCGACAGATCTAACAACAGCACTGCCGATCCACCCCAATCCAGATGCCTCCGGACATCGTTCATGAGGGACACCAGTACCGTCTCCGTCCCGTGGCCCTGGCGAAAGCTGGACTGGAAGGGGACTAGAATGGAAGCATCATCTAAGAAGCCCTGTAACTGAGTTGCCACTGTCCTCTCTATTATCTTGCCCAAATATGGCAAGTTGGAAACTGGCTGGTAGTTGGCCAATTCAGCCGAGTCCAAGGATGGCTTTTTCAAGAGAGGGCACACCACTGCCTCCTTAAATGCCTCCGGGAACAGCCCCTACAAGAGGGACATGTTGATGATTTCCCGCATGGCACCTCGAAACCCCTCATGGCCAGCTTTAATTAGCCATGAAGGGCACGGGTCAAGGGAACACGTGGTAGGGCATACAGTTAGGAGCAGTTTGTCAGCTTCCTCTCGGCTGAGCGGGCTGAAATGATCCATAACATGACTAGAAGATGTGCATGGAGCCTCAAGTTCACTCACTGTACCAATTGTGGCGGGGAGGTCGCAGCAGAGCAACAAGACTTTATCTGCAAAATAGCTCGCAAAAGCCTCACAGCTGATATTCGATTCCCTAGCATTTAGTCTGCTTTGTGGCAGAGCAGTAATAGACTGAATTATTCTAAACAATTGGGCTGGGCGTGAGCTTGCAGACGCAATCATGGCCGCATAGTACTGTCTCGTAGCAGTCTTGACTGCCATCTCATAGGATCTCAAAAACATCCTGTAAGATGCTCTTGTGGCTTTGTTGCGAGTGTGCCACCACTGCCTCTCTAGCCATCTTAGCTCCCATTTCATCAGCCGTAGCTCCTGGGTAAACCATGGAGTGAGCCTAGACCGGGAGCTCAGAGGACTCCAGGAGCTATCTCGTCGATGGCTGTCAAGAGTTGGCTATGCCAGTCCTCTACAAGCTCATGCAATGAGCCACCAGGGGCCTCCAGATCCCGAAGAGCCATCTGAAGCTGCAGCGGGTCCATTTGGCTCCGCTGGCAAGCCAAAATAGGCTTGCCGCCCAAACAGGGTCAGAGTGGGGTATTCAAACAGGCCTTCAAGGCAAAGTGGTCCAACCATGATACTGATTTCATCTAATGCCAGCCCTGTATTTCATTCCCATGAAATGGAAGGTGTGGGGGTGGAACGTGTTGCAGGGAAGAGGACAGTCTTGCTTGGGGAAATACCTTGGCTAAGAAGCTTAGTCTATCAAGGACAGGTCCCATAGGAAATATGGTCCAAGGAAATAAGGGCTAGTCCCTATATTAAAGGTAGCAACTCTAGAGGAGTATCTTAAAAACCAAGAAAATACACATATTAAGAAAACTTATATACAACAACAGTTAAGCTGCTTATGAGGAAGTCACTAGACGAAACCAAGTGTAAGCCGGCTGCTTCGTCAAGCTCCAGTAGCTTTCAGCTCATTAAGCCTTCTACTTTTTTGACTGCCAACAGTAACTGTTTAGGAATTCCACTGTTATTTTGGGGCTGTTGGCAGCCACTGATATTCTATTGTTTTCTTATTGTTGTAAATATTTGGGGAAATTTTGTATACTTTATAGTAACTATCTAGTATAAAGCAATTGTATCTAGCATACTACTCATGGTTCAGAGTGTATTATTGGTTCTATATTGGCCCCAGTTTTGTCTTGTTTCCTTGGCTGTGCTGTAAATCTGTCATCATGAACCCAAAGTTTCAAGATTTATCGATTGTTCTGGTGAAATATGTACTTAATTTTTGTCCTTTTCCACATCTCTCTATCTTTTCCTCCCTCCACACTTTCCTTCCTCCCTTCCTCCTCTGGCTGTGTCTGGCAGCCCACATCATTGTCAACAAACAGTGGTGCGGGATGGAGCCCTGTGATGATGGGGAGCAGTGCTCTTTGCTAATCAATCGTTCAGGCTGGAGCTGCACTAGGCAACTGGGACGAATAAAAACAGTCACGGTAAGTCACTAACCACCTGGCCTTCTTTTGGCCACCCAACTCAAGCTGAGGCAGAAAAGGACCCAAGAAACCGTCTGCTTTTGGGTGTGCTGAGCTGGGGAAAGAGGAGAGTTGTAGATGGGAGCTGGGACAGGGAATGATTGTCACTGGGGTGGAATGGGAAGACTGTGTGTCTTTCAGTGTGAGTGAAGAAACTCCTACTGAGGCCATCATGAGTTTAAAATAGCTGTAGGAATCCTGTTCTGCCTAGAGGGCTTCAGTGGGTATCGGCTGGGAGGAAAGATCAGAGGATGAGGCACCAGACCATACACCAAGTCTGTATGCATGCAGAACCAAGTTAGTTCTCAACTTTGCAAAGGTTTCGCAAATATGGCCAGTGGCTGCCAGCAGGTGTAGTTCATCACTACACACACATTTCCGGAGGGGGGGGGGCCCAAATAGCAGCTCACTGGGGATAGAGCATCTTTGTAAAGTACAGCTCCTTGTCCCTCTGCCCCCAACTGTTAAAAGATACAAGATGCTTCCTGAGGCAGCGAGTTCATCTAACACTGTGTGCTCTGACATGCGGTGGCTGACCAAGGGCAAACTTTCTGCTCCCTGATGTTGCTTTTAGAGACAGATGCCAGAGAGGGAAGCCGGGACCTTCTGCCTACAAAATGTGTGTCCTGTGACTTAGCGATGGCTTCTGATGGGGACCTGAGAGGGCTTTCCCATCCCAGCTTTGGACTTTGTACATGCCAAACAGGAGTTCCACCAGGATGCTCCTTCATAACCTTTCTGTTCTTGCTCTTGCACTGTTCTCTCATCTCCCTGTTACATATAAAAAGTATCAATATAAGTCTGGATATAATCAAAATTTGCCAAGTTCATTCAACCCCTCACGCCCCTTTCTGGGCTAGCGAAAGTTGTGTGAAAGTCAGAAATGTCTACTCACTATATCCAGTATTCAACTTGTAAGTCCTCAGAATAAACTATCCTTTCACTGGAAAAAGAGCTTTGCCACAGTCTCTAACAAAACAGAGAGGCATTTCAATGACCACTGTTACCTAAATACCTCAGAAAAAGAATCCCACTTCAAAGCAGACTAGTAACATAATTTCCCAGCCATCATCCCTCCATTTGGAAGAGCAGAATAAGATGGTTTCCCACCGGTTGTTTATTTCAAATGTAATATGAGGAATTACAATAGGATGCTCCAAGACATGTCCCCTGTGATAGTTCCATAGGAAGATGGTGTTTCCAATTATTTAGTTACAGTAAGTAGATCCTGCAATTGGTCTAGAGTCACCAGCTCACTAATGATCATGTTAGCCTCCCAGGTATTTCTTCTTGAATTCTGTTCACTGTGTGTTATTGTATTGGCAAGGGAAGCTAGCCATGCAGCCAACACAGCATGTTTGTGGGCTGGGAACCTGAAATATTTTGTCATTTCTTTCCACTTGCATTCTCATGAAGAGTTGCTTCTTCAGCCCACTGAATTTGTAAACGAGAGAGTTGCCAGGGGTCCAGTGTGCCTGGAAGCCATGCTCCTGCATCCTGGAAATGAATGATTGACTGCTGAGAGAAGAGTAGCTTGCCAGGTAGCTTTTCAGAGGCCCATGGCAGTATAGTGGGTAGAACATCAAACTATGACCAGGGAGGGCTAGGTTCAAATCACCACACAACCATAATTTTCCCTGGGTGACCTTGGGCCAGTCGTTCTGTCCAACCTACTTCACAGGGTAGTTGTGAGGATTAAATAGAGGTGAAAGTTCTGTCTATGCCACCCTGAGATCCTTGAAAGAACGAGGTATAGATTCAAATACACATAAGCAGCAATAGGGGGTATGTTCACTTTGGTGCCAGTTTGGTGTAGTGGTTAGGAGTGCGGACTCTAATCTGGGAGAACCAGGTTTGATTCCCCACTCCTCCACATACAGCTGCTGGTGTGACCTTGGGTCAGTTACAAGTCCTTTCAGAGCTGTTCTTTCATGAGCAGTTCTTGAAAGAGCTCTCCCAGCCCCACCCACCTCACAGGCAATGTTCCCTCTAAGCTGTGGAGTCTTGTGAGCAAAAATTCTACCTTGTGAGCTACTGGCATTAAAATTGTGAGTGAGCAATTTGGCTCCTGCATAAATTAGTTTGCTCTGGAGCCATCCTTCCTGAGCTAAGACAAAAATGTGTGAGCCGGAGGCTAAAAAACTGTGAGCTAGCTCACACTAACTCAGCTTAGAGGGAACACTGCTCACAGGGTGTCTGCTGTGGGGAAGGGAAGGGAAAGGAGATTGTAAGCTGCTCTGAGACTCCGAGTGAAGGGCAGAGTATAAATCCAATCTCTTCTTCTGTGACTCTGAACCAGATTCTGAAATAAATTCTGCTGTGTAGCACTGATGAGCCCTGGCTCTAATTCAGCTTTGTATTATTATCAAGGTTCACAGGCATCATCTTAGCAATTTGAAATTGTTCCGTTTCTAATGCTTGGATCTATTACCAATTGTATTTAATGTATCCATGAAGTTCCTGTCTAACTTGGAATAAAAAGCAAGGTTCTGTTTGTGTGTGGTCAGCATTCAAACAGGTACATGTGTAAAAGTATATTTCCTGAACATGTGTTCTTGCCGAACAACTAAGCAAACAGCACAAAAAATAAAAAGCATTTCTCTGCCTTTAGTCCAAGCTTATTTTTTTTTCATTCAAGTCTTAAACTCTAAACTGAGAGTTGTGCAAAAGCCCCCAAAGTCTGATTTTCAAAGGTGAGCTTTTTTCCAACTTCTGAATTTTGCTGAGGAGAATTCTTTGGTTCTTAATTTAGGTTCTGCCATTCTTTTCTTTCTCCCAAAGTCAGATACTTTTAATACTCATACTGTGTATGAGCTTAAAAATAATGTGTCTAGAGGTAGGATTGGAGGGAAATGTATTGGGAAAAGATCAGACTGTATCTAGCATCCAGAGTGCTGGGGGGGGGGGTCACTTCATGGGCTGTTATGGTTGAAAAACAATTGCTGGGAGAATAAAGCAGGCCTGAGGCTATGCTGAGCTTTGCCTGAAATTGTAGTGCAGTTATTTTTTCCAGTTTATCCTGTGAGTGCAGAGAGGCATCGCCTGCCCCTGCTGCCTGGGGGAATCAGCCCTGCTAATAGAGTTTGCACACGGGCCACGCACGAGGGCTTTGCCAGCTATTAATATAACTCACTTGCAGGGCTCTGCATCAGACAATTTGTTTTCTAGGAGTTCACCACAGGCACACCAGGGATCGCTCTCTCTAAGGCCCTCTTAAAGCAGCAGCAGTCTTGGCAGGTAGAGATGGATGTGGATGTGTCTTAAACAAAGCTCGTCAGCACAACGCAGAAATAAGGCCTGCAGAGAAACCTGGTGCCCAGACCTGCCTTTTCATTGTAAGGAATCAACAGCATAGTTAAAAGGCCTGGATTACTGCCACTGTACTGGGCAACACTGAAGGGGAAGCTGCACGTCAAAGGGTATTGCACTAGCATTGCAACATAACCATCATTTGCAACTGGGTTTTCCTGTGTAGACAAGATAATCCAGCAGCAAATGGTTGCTATGATGCAGTGACAGTGCAGTCTCCGGTGGTGTTTTGTTTCTATACACCTTTGGCATACGGGATCATAAAATCACTGTTAATGCCATTTGTCTTCATGGCAAACAATGGTAGCAGCTTTCAGGGCAAGGACTAGTACCTTCTTTCTTCCTAAAGAAAACCACAGCTATTAATCTTCTGCTTGGGATGGTAGGTTTTAATCCAAAGACTGTGCCCGTGCCTGAAATGCTTGGAGGCAGGAAGAGTTGCAGTTGGTGCCATCCCCCCACCCCATTCTGTTGCTCCACTGGTCTCTCTCCCTGACCTCTTTTCCTAATTCCTTTAGGAAGGAGCTGGTAAAAGGGCAGGGCAGGATGGGTGAGCTCTACATCTCCCCCTCTGCCTTAGAGGGGGTATTTCAGATGTAGGCACAGTTTTGGGCTTAACATCTGGCTTCCTCTGTAGCTCAGGGGTGACAGTGGTAATCCCAAGAGTTAATCCACCTTTTTGTTTTTTATTTATTTATACCTGCTTCTCCCCCCCCCAATGGGGACCCAGAGCATCTTACACCATTCTTGCTTCCTCCATGTTATCCTCACAATGACGACACTGTGGGTAGGTTAGGCTGAGAGAGAGAGAGACTGGTTACCCAGCAAGCTTCCGAGGCAGAGTGAAGATAAGAACATGTGAACTGCCCTGCCAGATCAGACAAAGGGGATACGAACCTGGGACTACCCGATCCTATTCTGACACGCTAACCATGACCCCAAGATGGCTTTATAGAGTTGTAAGGAGCCTTATGTAAGGCATCTAGTCCAACCCCCGGACAGTGCAAGTAATCCAAAGCCGGAGCCTTCCCAACACCTCTGCTTGAAAACCTCCAAGGTGGGAGAGCCCACCCAGCCCTGCCAATTGGTTCCATTGCCAAACAGTTCCTGACCCCTAGGAAGTTTCTCCTAATGATTGACCAAAACCTGCCTTTCTGTACCTTAAGGTCCCAATCAAGACCTGGACGTTTCTCCCAGTGGGCTTAGGATGTCCATTTCAGATTGAGAAAGTGGTGCAGGGAGAAGGCTTAACCTTAAACCCCTCCCCACGGTGTAGTTCTGGTCTGAATTGAGGCTCCACATACCTGCATTTGACAAACAAAAATATGCCAGGAGCTCATTTGCAGAACTCCCAGCATCTCCTGTTGTCTGGCCCTGGTGCTTCTTACTCAGAATTCCTCAGAGCATGCTTCTTCTGGATGGGGAATTGCCTCAGAGTCAGTTCCTGTGCTCATCCATCAGAAGGGATTTTGGGCACTGAACCTGAAAAGGAATGAAGCCCCAGGTGAGCACCTCTCTGCAGCCTCTCAGAAATCTGGCAAAGTGTGAAAGAGAGCGAGAGCGAGAGCACAATACACTGCTGGGTTTAACCATTTGCAGATGACCACTTCCCCACAGATATACAGTCATAATAGTGGGGTGAGCTTTTCAAC